CATGTCAAACAACAACAGTTTGATATACTGAATAAAAATATACATGAAATCAGTTTAAATTTTTTCTAGTTCATTGTATATTTTATAACGTCAAATTGTATATGGAACAAGCATGTCGAAAAAGAAGTAGAATTGTGTAAGCTTTTTTGATGTGTTGGTACAAAGTATTAATGGCCGACAGTGGCTCGTTGGTAGAGCATTGGCTTTGAGGCTGAAGGTTGTGGCTCGTGCCCACATGAACCTCTCCAACCCCCCACCAGACTCCCACTTGACTATTGTTGTGTCCATGGGCGAGACACTTAACCCCAATTTACCTGAAGCCCCTGAAAGATCAAGGCTTTGATGTGTATGTGGACTCTCCACCTGCAGTAGGATTCGTGAGGCTGGTGCTCTGTAAATTGCCTCGATATAAAAGTAGAAGTACCAAAAGATGTGATGACGTGTGAAGACCATCAAGTGAAAGAAATGTATTGCACCTTTTAACAATTATTACTCTTTTGTGGACCTTGGTGGTCCTGATGGTCTGAAGACCACCAGAGGCTGAGGCCCACAGAGGCCAAACCAGACTTTGTACACTTTCATAAAACGGAGGCATGTTCTTGATTGCAAATAGACAAACAGATGCGTCCTGCAGAATGTGGAGTTTCCAGTCGATCTGCTTTCTATAGTGGGTTTGCATGTTCTCCCTGAGTCTGTGTACGTTCCCTACTACTAAAACATGTAAGAAGGTTCTGCATGTGCCTCCTGTAGCGACCTGCTCCATTCTGTGTGAGTGAGAGACAAACACCACAACAAATTGTAAAGCGCTTAGTGACTGGGTTGGGAAATGCGCTTATAAATAATGATGACTTACATATCGAAAACTTTAGTGAATGTTCAAAATAATTATGAAGGGGCTTAATCTACAATGCATGTCTGTGTGGTGTGTTGTGAGCCAAGTCTATATGTATGTGTGTGTGTAGGAGTGTTGTGGATGTGCGTGAGCAAGTCCATCTGTATGTGTGTGTGGTACGCGCTCTCAGCTGACTGGTGTTTACAGTCTGTTGTAAGACAGTGACAGACAATACATGTATGTTCCCCCCCCCCCCCCCAAACTCTGCACTCACATGACCATGGAGATAGCCACATGTTCTACTACCACTGCATGTACTTGCTGCTGCTGCTGCTACTGCTGCTGCTACTACTACTTCTTCTGCTACTGCGGACTGTGCTGCTGCTGTGCTTCTACTATACAAAAAATACTGCTGCTGTGCTACTACTGCTACTATTACCATACTGTTACTGCTGCTACAGCTGCACTAATACTACTGCGTACTGCTGCTGGACCTTTTTTGCTATGCAGGGCAGGGCCTGGTTAGTACTGTGATGGGAGGACCTCTGGGAACACAGGTGCCACAGTGGGGCGGCTGTAAAGTGCCAAAAATCTGCTGGTTATGTCCTTTACGGCAAACACTTCACCCAAATTGATGCGTCTAGTGTGTAGTGAATGGTGGTGGAGGGTGGTGAGGGGATGATGGCACGATGGTTGCCTTGCCTCCGTCAGTGCGCCCAGGGCAGCAGTGGTACAGTAGTAGTTTATCACCACCGCGTTTTTGGAGTGAAGATACTGCTGGTGGACACCTGCAATGTCATGTGAAGCAAACTTTGAGTGTCTGAAAGGGAGCTATGTTAAGTGATGCATTTTTTGTTATTATTATGAAAATCAGGCCTATATCAACATAAATGTGGATCTAACACTCTTTATAACGGCCTCACATCTAAACCAGCGTAAGGGTCTATCAGAGGAGAGGAGCAGCTCTCCCAGGGCTACACCACCTCTGTGCTGTGACCTAAAGTGCTGTTTGCATTATATACTACTTTTAGCGACTTGTAGAATGATGTTTTTTTGTCCGGATGGGTGTGTTCTGCTTGAGGGCACCGGCATTTATCCAAAGAGTAAACAATAAACATCTAATCCATCTATTACCGGACAACTTACTTTCAAGATCAGATCGGATTATGGATATTTGCATTTGCTCAGTAAAACCACATTACATTTAAGGCCTTATTTTCAGTGACCGGGTGTTGGATCTGTTGAAGAGCTCTCTGTGCTGGTGAACCTAGATGGTGCTGGCACAAGGACAGTTGCTTGCTGTGTGCACATGGAGCAGGGGCGAGCCAGGACTTGATGGAGCTTTGATGGAGCTCTCTAATGCAGCTCTGTGAAAGCCGAGCCTCCTGGGTTACAGCGCGCAGCAGGCAGCGCCGCGGTGTGCAGTACGCCTGACTGGCGGTCATTCATTGCGCATCAAAAAGCCGCCTTTGTGTGTGAGTGGACAGAGGGGCAAGGCTTTCGCCCCCTCTTAGATATTCTCCATGTCTCTGCCTGAGAATGGGTTGATTGCTTGTTTCTGTTCTCTGAGCCTCTCCCACCGAGAGTTGTGAGATCTGAGTCGGTCCACTTTACAAGCTTTTGTCATATTCAGTTGGAGTTATTGCAGGAGGGTCTATGAACAGTGGGGGTGATCTAGGACACTTCCACATTCAAAACATTTATGGACATTGGTTCATTGGCCCCTCAGGGACCAATGCTCTATCTTTAAAGTGATTGTCTGGAGTTTGTCAGGAAAAAAGAGGGAGCGAGTTTACACGCCACAGACACGAGGACTTGCTGAACCCGTGTGGGGAACGCGGTCTTCTGGATCCACGGTCCTCTTCGCCTGAACGCATTGCTCCGTGCGGGGTTTACGCGTCACAGGCAGGAGTTGGCAGCGGTGAAACCTGGTGCGGGGTAAGCCGCTGTCTGTGGTTTCAGACTCGTGCGGGTCTGGCAAGTGAAACATAAACAAGCAGTGCTCGCGTTCTCGCGAGACTTCGCAATGTCACACACGTGTGAAGACTGCAGGGTGCAAATGCCCATTGAGGATGGGCATATGAAGTGCGTTTTATGTTTGGGAGAGGATCATGCCTCTGCGGCCAGGGAAGACCCGTCCTCTTGCATGAACTGCTTTATTATACCCAGGCCGTCACTCGAGGCTCGTTGTTGTCTGTTTAGGGGCAAGAAACGGAAAGCCTCTTTTACTGAGCTGAGCCAGGAAAAACGTGACAGAGGGTTGGGAACTAGGTCAAAGACTCCCATGATTGGGCCTCCACTTACAATTACTGTGCATGACACCTCTGAGCCTCATGAGCAGGAGGACGTGAGTGATGTGGATGTGGAGTGTTTGTCAGACAGTGATTTGGCACCTGACCAGGAGGGCACGGCATCTGTAGGTGAGGACAGGGAGCCTAATAGTGCATTGCTGCAGTTTAAAGGGCTAATTGAGAGAGCAACTCAGGCCCTTGGTGTGGAGTCTAGAGCTGTAAATGCACCCGCCCCCTCACGGTTTGACAGTGGTTGTGGGCAACCATATGGATCTTTTTCGGTTCCACTTCTTTCAGATGTGGAGGAGCTAATCCAGGCTGGGTTTACCAGACCAACAGATGCATTTAAAACTTCTGTTAGCTGCAGACGGCTGTCTGCCATGCAGGATTGTGAGAAGATTGGCTGTGCCACTCTTCCTCAGGTGGACCAGTCAATTGCAGCCCTAATTTCTCCGTCCAGTTCTGGGCTGGGGAAAACTACATGTCCCTCCAGAGGTAGTAGAATGGTGGATGCACTTTTGGCTAAGGTGCATAGGACCATTGCTGTTCAAACACAGCTAGCCAATACTATGTCTATACTGACCTTGTATAATCGTCAGCTTACATATGAGTTGGAGGGGGGACAGGGTTCAGAGCGGCTGGTTAAAGAGTTGCAGCTTGTCTCCTCATCTATGGTTCAGCTAATGAAGGAGCAAGCAGCAGTGGCAGGGAAGAGTATTGCTTCTCTTTGGGTAACCAGGCGGCAGCTATGGCTCTCCCAGTCACCACTGCAGCCGGAGGATCAAAGTGGCTTGATGAAACTCCCGGTTGACCCTCAGGCCATGTTTGGTCCTGGTGCCATGAGTATGTTACAGCAGGCCCAGGAGGCACGCAGATGTGCGCGGGAAGTGTCTGGGGTGGTTGTGCGGCGGCGCAAGTGGCAGAGTGCAGGTTCCGCATCCAGGCCACCTACACAAACCGGTCAGCAGCAAAACTGGGGCTCACGGGACTTACGTACCACCATTGAGACCCAGCGGCGACGGAACAGGGGCAAAGGGGGGCCATCAGGTTCTGGGTTTCAGGCTAAGGGCCGACCCAAGCCTCCGCCTCAGTCCTGACGCCAGGATGGACCCAGCGTGTTTCCCCGACATTGAGACACGCCGGACTGCCTGGATGGCCATGGGTGCGTCCCCATGGGTCGTGTCTACCATGACGCAGGGGTACCGTATCCAGTTTTTACGGAAGCCTCCCACCTCAGTGTCCCCTTTGGTGGTCACTCAGGTGCATTCCGAACACAGGGCAGTACTCCTGTCGGAGATTTCTACCCTGTTGGAGAAGAAGGCAATCAGAGTAGTGCCACCAGGCGACAGACAGGCTGGGTTTTATTCCCGGTATTTTTTGATTCCCAAAAAGGACGGCAAGCTCCGCCCCATTCTCGACCTGAGAGGACTGAACCGGTTCATTCGTCCTCTGCGGTGCAAAATGTTGACAGTCTCCAGGGTGAGACAGTTCATCTGCAGAGGGGATTGGTTTGTTACCATCAATCTGAAGGACGCCTATTTTCAGATTCCCATCTGGAAAGGCCACTGGCGTTTCCTCAGATTTGTCTTCAACGGCAAGGTGTACGAATTTCAGGTTCTTCCCTTTGGGATATCCCTGGCCCCTCGCACATTCACGAGGTGCATGGAAGCAGTGCTCTCACCTCTCAGACAGGAAGGCATCAGAATTCTGAACTACTTGGACGACTGGCTCCTGTGTGCGGGGACACAGCAGGAGTGTCGGGCTCACTTGTCTCTGCTGTTGGAACACCTGCGTCAATTGGGGCTTCGTCTCAACTACGAGAAAAGCCATCTCGTACCGTCTCGAGAGACGCACTTTCTAGGCCTAGTCTTGAATTCTCAGGCAGCAAGTCTCACACTATCACAGGCGAGACTGATGTCCTTCGAGAGTTGTCTCTCGCAGTTCAGACTGGGGGCCAGAGTCACATGGCGGCAGTGTCTCCGCCTCATGGGGCTTATGGCGTCCATGTCACAGGCAGTCCCTTTGGCGCTGCTGAACATGCGCCCAGTCCAACGGTATCTTCTGGGTCTAGGTCTGGATCCTCAGAGACACCTACACGTGTCAGTACTGGTCACCAGGCGTTTTCTATTGACCCTTCGTTGGTGGCGTTGCGCAGAAAATGTGAACAAGGGGCTCACTCTCGGGCCAGTGATTTATCGTCATCTTGTGGCGACGGATGCATCACTGACGGGATAGGGAGCTGTGTACAGAGGCAATGGGGTCAGCGGACACTGGCGGGGTGCCTACACAACACAACACATCAATGTCCTGGAGCTGCGGGCGATATATCTAGCCCTTCGACACTTCCTTCCTCACATACAGGGGCAACATGTCCTGGTGAGGACAGACAGTGTGGCAGCAGCCTCGTATGTGAACAGACAGGGCGGGTTGGGCTCAGTCTGCCTGTGCAAGATCGCACATCAACTGTGGCTGTGGGCTCAACCCAAGTTCCTGTCGCTGCGGGCGGTGCATGTGCCAGGATTGGACAATGTGGCCGCGGATCTGCTCTCCAGGGGAGGGCCGGATCCAGGCAGCTGGAGGCTACACCCTCAGGTGGTGTGGGCCATTTGGGGCCGTTACGGGCAGGCGTCAGTCGATCTATTTGCGTCTCGCCAGAACGCCCACTGTCCCCTGTTTTTCTCTTTGGGGAGGGACAATCCTCCGCTCGGGGTAGATGCAATGTCTCACCCGTGGCCTCACGGTCTACTTTATGCTTTTCCGCCATTCGGTCTCCTCCCGTCTCTCTTGCAGAGGGTGCGGGTGGAGGAAGTGAGAGTAGTCCTGGTGGCTCCCCTGTGGCCTCACATGACTTGGTTCTCGGACATCCCACGTCTCCTCAACGGGACTCCGTGGGAACTCCCAGTACGGCCGGACTTGCTGTCGCAGGGCCTGGGGGCTCTGTTTCATCCGTTTCCCCAGGGGCTGAGGCTCTGGGCCTGGCCCCTGAGAGGTCCGAGTTGCTAGCTATGGGACTTCCAGATTCTGTGGTGCAGACTTTGGAGGGTGCTCGGGCACCATCTACGCGTGCACTATACACCCATCGATGGAACTCCTTTGCTAAGTGGTGTGTGCAGCATGGGTTTGACCCTCTGGCATGTACAGCACCAGAGATTCTGCAGTTTTTGCAGTATCTTCTGGAGGCGGGCAGGTCACCATCCACATTAAGGGGAATGGTGGCTGCTATCAAGGCACAAAGGGTAGGCAGACACAGTTTACCTGAGGGTGTGTCCCACCTGATCTCTAGGTTTCTCAAAGGGGCCCGACGGCATGGTGGCAGGTGTACAAGACCACCCCTTCCCTCCTGGGATTTGGAGTTGGTTTTGCAGGCCTTGGTGAAGCCTCCTTTTGAGCCTCTGGCTACAACGGACCTGAAGTGGGTGTCGTTGAAAACGGCCCTTTTGACAGCGTTGGCCTCTGCAAAAAGGGTGGGAGAGCTCCACGCTCTCTCGGTTCATCAGGACCTCTCTAGGTTTATGCCTGAGGAGGCTGGTGTAGTTTTGCGACCGGACCCGATGTTTGTCCCTAAGGTTATCCTAGGTCGACACTCAGATTTGGCAATCTCGTTGAGGTTCCTGTTCTCCGTTCAGCAGGCAGGGGGTGAGCGGGAACAGTCGCTGGTGTGTCCAGTCAGGGCCCTGCAGGTCTACATGACTCGGACACGGGAGCACAGGACTGTGGATCAGCTTTTCGTTTGTTTTAAGCAAGGGAAGTTGGGCCAGCCCCTTTCTAAGGCTCGCCTGTCGCATTGGCTTGTAGATGCAATCCGTCAAGCATATGTGACTATGGGGGTTGAGTTTCCTGTGAATGTGAGGGCACATTCTACACGGGGGATGGCAGCGTCCTGGGCTTTGTGGCGTGGCGCATCGCTGGATGAGATCTGTGCTGCTGCCACGTGGTCAGCTCCTTCTACTTTTTCTCGGTTTTACCGGTTGGATTTAGCAACAGGCACATCCTTTGGGGAACGTGTGCTGGGTGCCGCGCAACCCCAGTGAGGTTACCCATAACCTTGCATCTTGCAGTTTGGGATGGGGCACCGGGATCTGGGCGACAATGTCCTGCGTTGGCAGAATGGGTTGCCCGTCTTTATTTTTCATGACAGTGGCCTGGCCTTTGCGTCTTGCAGGGCTGTGTCGCCTCGGTTGCGTCTTGCGCTGGGGCCAGTGTGTCACAACTTGCGTCTGGCAAGGTTGGCTTCTATGTGTGTAGTTTACTGTGTCACTTGGGTGGTTTTTGTTCTAATTGGTGGCGGCAACGTCTCATTCGAAATACACCCTGCTCGATCCCCTTGCGGTGTGTCTTACAGAGTCCCCGTACATATGAAATATGTAACTGGGTGGAGAGATAGTCTCAATACGATAGAGAACGTTACGGTTACAGTATGTAACCATGTTCTCTGAGTGAAGAGACTATCTCTCCAGCTCGATTCCGCTCGGGGATCCGTTACATCAAAATTTGATCAAGGTGCGCTGGGCACACGGGTGCTTTTGTAGCGCAATCAGCCATCTCACAGGTGGTGTGTCTTAAAGAATTATCCATGTCACCTGACCCGCGTGGGGTCAGTCCCCGTACATATGAAATATGTAACTGGGTGGAGAGATAGTCTCTTCACTCAGAGAACATGGTTACATACTGTAACCGTAACGTTACAAAATGCTTAAATGGAATGAATGCATTTGAATACGGCAAGATTAGGCAACGTGTATATTGGCTTCCAACTGAAACAAAACTACAACCTGAGCGCAACCTATAGGACCTGACTTTAGCTGTACCTTTGGATAACATTTTTAAAACATTAACTAAATTAAATCTAACAACTAGGGGTGTCAAAGTCATTATAAAGGGCCGCTGTGGCTGCAGGTTTTCTGTCAAACCATGCAGGTGCAGAGTAGCCTCCGCCTATTTCCTAACATTTTCAGGTTAACTGAACTAGCTAACTAACTATTTTAGGTAAGAATACAAATGAGCAATTTTTTTTTTTTTTTTAAACTTTAAGAAAACTCATACACACATGATCCATAGATATATTAAGAATAAAAGAGCAGGATAAAGAGCATACAATTATATATTTACCGTTCATCCATGACAATGGGACAACGGGTGAATAGCAATGAACAGACTACAGTCAAAATTCTAATAATGCAGACAGATAAAGTAGGAAGGAGGAGAGGAATATATGCTAAAATATAGTATTTCTACTCTAGCAGTACATACAACTGTTGTACAGCTAATCGACATTCTTCATGTCCAGTCATCATGTATGTTTACTTTTATATTATCTGTGTATGATTTTGAGGTCCTATTATGATTGTAATGGTTCGTTTCATGTTTTGTAACGCACTTTGAGCCTTGATTGTACACAAACTTTCCTCGTCTCCCTCACCTCGTCCTTGTCTCCGAGTGCAGATCCCACCCCCACAGCAGAGCGCATGGAGGCGGGCCCAACTCATCCACACGCGCGCTCTCCGCTCCTTCGACCCTTTAACGAACGGAGCACAAACCAAAACCCATCAAACATCCCTCGCCAAAGCCGCAGTTCTCTCCTCCCGTGTGGACTTTGCCTTTGGGATCCTCCTCTATGCGTTTGGGATGTCTAATTATCATTATGGATGTACCCGGGGTCCGCGCGGAGATGGCTGTTTGAACTCCAGCCTGTGAGTGGTGTTTTCTGCACAAATGGGACCCGCACGCGCGCTTCTGCTGCAGCTGCTTTTTCTCTCTGCCCAGGGTAAGTACGGGTAAATTCGACTGATGCCTTGAAGTACGATCATATTAGTCTAGTTCTCAGGTCTCTGCACTGGCTTTGTATGTCTCAGAGACTAGACTTTCCGAGGCTTGGCACCAAAGTACATCCTGACATGTGAACCAAAGCGGACTCTGAGGAGCAAAGAACTGGTCTCCTGCCAGTCCTGCCAAGAGATTATCTCTTGGACATTTTTACCATCTACAGGTGCAAAGTGAGTTAGCTCAAAGAGCCTTTGGATTGTTATCTGTGGATTAACTGCAACTAGCCTTGCAGTCATTTAGTCCACGTGTTTGTTGAGGACTTGTGGTAGCACTGATCAGAAGAATGTAAACAATGAGTCCTCCTGTACATCTGTAGGAAGACTGTTCAGATTCTAGGGGAATACACATGAAAAGTTTTGTCCTAACTCTGGTCACCGCAGAGTGGCTCCTCGCCGTGAGGAGTCACTGGCTCCACATTGAGAGGAGTCAGTTGAGGTGGCTCAGGCATCTGTTTGGGATGCCTCCTGAACTCCAAGGGAGTTGCTCCAGGATGTCTGAGTGTCTCTGCTCCCAGACAGACTGCTGGCCCTACAACCTGGCAACAGATAAAATATGGTTGAGCCAAAAGCCTTTGCCATAAATAAAACAAAATATGTGTTATTTATGGGAAAGAATGAGGATATTACGCTGTGAAGGTAAAAAGGCAACTGGTTTTATAGCTCAGGGACACACACAAAAAATATTCTAATACAAATTATTGTTATTGAAGCCCGCTGCAACTCCACCAGTATTCAATTGTTGCATGCATCATACAGACTCAAAATCAAGCCTTTACAAGCCTTTAGGTCACAATAATTAAAAAAGAAAATAACAGCCCAAAACAATGTACACGAAGCAACATAGGAAACATTACTTCTAACATTTTAACAAATAAATATATATAAGCAGGATTCAAGCATAGACCTGTATAGATAGACAATGCTAACCCCCTAGTTCAATGAAGTGAAGCTACTGTAATACTGTGGAACAAATGCCCATAGAAGGAAATGGGCTCCAACTATCTTATGTTCAAATTGGTTCAAATCAAATTTATCTTTGTTTTTAGTGGCTTTAGAAATGTGTCCTTGGCCAAGGGGAAATTTTGTCCTTTTGATCTGGGAAATATGCAGTCTCTCTAATACTATTATTTTCAAAATATGTATTTTTTTATAGGTTTAATGATGGGAAAACTATTGGAAACAATCTTAGAACCTGTCATTTTACAAACAATTTCTGTGGTTCTTGTTCCGTCCCCAATTACAAGCAAATTGTTGCGTTTGGTAAATGACACACAGTATATTCAAGTTTAAACTTTGTAAGAGGAAATATTTGATACCTAATATTTATGATCACTGGAGCATAATACATTTAAAGGTTTATGTTCCCTGTTATTGATTTGTAAGATTCGCCTGTCGTTGAAATCATGTGGTTTCTCAGTAAAAACTATAGTGTTATATACTGTAGTTCTTCCGCCTCCCTCTTCTCAACAGGACATCCCTTATAAAGACTTATTTCTGCTTCTTTCTCTCACAAAACAACAGATCCAGACTGTACTACACATAATGGAACTTCCCGATTTTGGCAAAACATATAATGAATGTACCTGAGGTCATGAGGTTTGGGTAATGACCAAAAAGGACAAGATCGCGGATACAAGCAGTCCGCCTAAATGTATGCTTCTTTTATTGTTTCCCTGTGAACTGCATGTGCAATACAAATGGAAGCTTTTACATCATAAATCTATGAGCTATCTATAAGAAAGGTCAGAGCAGACTTTTCTTCCTGAGAAGACTGAGGTCCTTCCATGTGAGCAGTCAAATGTTGCACATATTTTACCCAATCTTGTTGTAGCTGCCGTGTTCTTTGGGGTTGTCTGTTGGGGCGGCAGTCTGACCTCGAGAGACAGTAATCGGCTCAACATGCTGATCAGGAAATGTATCTCTGTGATGGGAAGAAGTGTGGACTCTGTGGGAGCTGTGCTGGAGAGAAGGATGAGGGCTCCAATGCAGGGCATCCTGGGTAACTCCAGACACCCTTTGCATGACACTATGGTAGGGGTTGGCGATATGGCTTAAAATTCATATTGCGGTATAATTTGTATCACACATGGTAGACGGTATAGTCTCCACAAACAAAATCACCGGTATTTCATCCAGTATTTAATACATTTTTAGCATATAATATTATTCCATATTAAAGAGATGCAATGCTTTCGAAATGCAGATTGAACTGAGGACCCTGTGGTTAGTGTTGCCAACTTGACAACAGAAAAATAAGGGACACCATTTGGGTGGATCCTGTTGAGCACTTTTTAGTCCTAATTTCAATCTAGACATGAATCATGGAATTTCATAATCAGTTTTTATAACAAATCCTTTACTTATTCCTGACTTAATGCATGCTTATTAGTAATAGAAAATATAAAAAAGAGCTTTTTTCAAAGTTTTCAAAGCTGGTCTTGACATTTGTTGACGGTCCCTAAGCGCTTTTCTCTGTGCTTGCAGCAACAGATTTCTCTGCATTAAAACAGCACATTGGATTTAAACAATCGATGTAAATGTGATCATTTTGGCACAATTACTTTAGTTTAACAAAGTAGCTTTTGTGAGATATTGACCGCGGAAGTCCGAATCTGACGCTAACTTTACCAAACTTCTGCTGTGATGATGCTGCAGGCCACGCTGACGCTCATGTGATCTGGGCTAATGCGGCTGGCTAATGCAGCAGGCTAATGCCGGTTGTTTTGGTGCTTTCTCCCGGTGTTCTGTCGAGTTGGTTTGCCCGTCGAGATGATCTGCCTCAGCTGTTAATGATGTAATGCAAACCTTGAGGCGAGCTGTTGATGGTAAAATGACGTTTGCAGCAGTCAACTCAGGGACTGCTATCACACAGTAGCAGTGTAGTTTCACAGGAGCAGTGGACCGCTTAAAACAAACTTTACACGAAACTCTTACTCTTAAAACACACATATCACAACGCCGAACCATCAACATCTCGGCCGAGCCCCTCTGTGCACGTGCATGAGAGCCACACACGCGTGGCTCTCATGCGACTGCTCTGGACAGAGCAGTCGCATTCTCTTGCTGCTCCTCGCTTGCTGCTTTTTTATCTCCTTTAATCATTTTTGCTTACATTTTTATTCCACAAAACACGGAATACTCCTTTTTTACAAACTTTTTACAAAAGTCCACAAGACTTGTGGAATTTACCTAACTTACAGCATGTCGGGAGGACTGGAAAAAAGAACAAAACTTTGCGACGGCTGTTTTTCACTCAAACAGGAGCTAAAACTTCTTCAAGACCGAATGTTTGTGCTTGAATCAGAATTGGGGCTGAACACAACAATACCAGTGAAAGGAAATGGACCAAATGGACAGAACGTAAGGGTGTATTCAGACCTGCACATTTGCTCCGCTTTAAACGGACCAGGATTCGTTTGGAACTCTGATCCGAAGCTTTTATGCAGGTCTGAATACACACACACAAATCCTGGTCCGGACCAAAGAACCGAACCGAGACCCACTTTTTTAGGTGGTCTCGGTCCGCTTCCAAACGAATTCTGGTCCAAGTCGAATCAGGTCTGAATACATCCGGTGTCGATCCGACACAACTCCAAGATACGTGCGCATTTTTTGGGCTTAACAAGCCGCAGACAGAAACTGTGAGGAATTAGCCATGCAGCGGCTAACTATGCTGCTAACGCTACACAACAACAATGAGCCGTGTGCAGACCTGGAGCAGTGAGGAGACGCTGTGCAACAGGCTTATGGAGTTACAACTGTTCACAGTATATATTGATGTTAATGGCAACATCTTCAAACCATTTGCATTATTAAAAACCTGACACTGTTTGACTCACGTCTCAAAGAGCAATATTCCGCAACATGTAGTGAATTGTGTTCTTTGGTTCCTACCTGATCGTCAGCGTCTGTTTGTCCCCTGGTTATTATAGATCCAAGGTTTATCCACAATGCTGAACAGGGCCATTATTATCATAGATCCATGTGTGGGACAGGACACGGAGCGCACAGAGTCTCCTTTGGCTTTCTCCTCACGCATTCTCCGACGCTGTTCCAATATTTAAAACAACTTGTTTCGCCTGTGTCATATGAGCTGCTGCTGTTGATGTTGAAGGTGGTTTTGCTCTAAAAAGAGCAAACATAGGCAGAGCAGACAGTTCCGTGTCTATCCTCCGTGAGCTCTCTCTGTCCAATAGGAGCGCCGATCGTCACACGTGTCGATATGTTTATATAAAAAAGTTCACTTGCAAAAAGGACAGTCTGAATACGAACTGGAGCAAAAGAAAAAAGTTTGGTCCGCTTTTGATTCGGATAAAGCAAGCGGAGCAAAGGACTTTTCAGGTCTGAATACACCCTAAGTTATGATGACGCTATTTCATTTCCCAAAATCAACAGAGACAATTGTTGGAACACATATGGTGCCAAGCCCAAACAAGGCAACGCTAATGATAACAAGAGTGTCATAATGCCACAGCAAAAATCTTTAATTACAAGAAACCGCTTTTCACCACTTTTGGAAGATGAATCAGCAGTAGCCTCTCAGTCCCAGTCTCAGTCTCAGTCAAGGTCAAATGCAGCTGAGTCGTTCTTTATCGGGGATTCGGCGATAAGACATGTAAACATGCGTAATCTCAAGGTTCACTCAGTACACTCTGCCAAAGTGGATGAGATAAGGCGGTTGGCTCCGAGGCTTCTGTCTGAGACCGGCGGGGTAAAAAGATTGTTGGCCACATCTGAACACTTACGGAGTAAAAGTGTTGATGGATAACCTTTCTTTTGCCCTGAGACCTCAGCCTGCGCAGCGCGTGCAGCCATCGAAAGGGAGGAAGCCGACTCTAAAAGTCTCTGTACCTCCACCACCTCGAAGGATCTCAACACCACCACCACCTCGAAGGATCTCAACACCTCCACCACCTCGAAGGATCTCAACACCACCACCACC